ACATTTGACAAGATTAAACTCCATCTGCCATTTTTCTGCCCATGCCTCCTACTGATCCATATCCTGCTGTATCCTTTGACAATCCTCCTCACTATCCTCAACTCCACCAATCTTTGTATTGTCCACATTTGTATTTGTATTTGAATTTGTATTCTTATACCCTGATGAATGCTTGACAAGAAAAAAATCGACAAAATAGGTCAATTAACTTGGTCTAAAATTTAGACAGCTAGCTGTTCACTGCCAATCAACATTTATGGGTACATTTTCCTCAGCAACACCTCCACCAATCTGAGTCTGCTTGTGAGCCAATCAGCACTTCTCTCACGTTGAATAAATGTTGGCTTTTCCCTTGAATTTATATTCTTATAAGATGCCCTGATGAATGCAAAACAAAACAAAAAATAACAAAATGTATCTTTTCAGCAGTACTCAAGTTTTGTGCTCCCAAACAATGAGTTATATAATCCCTACAGTGTGGAAACAGGCCCTTTGGCCCAACAAGTCCACACTGACCCTCAGAGCACCCCACCCAGACCCACCCCTGGATGCTACAGGCAATTTTACATGGCCAATCCACCTAGCCTGCACATCTTTGGACTGTGGGAGGAAACCAGAGCACCCAGAGGAAACCTACACAGACACAGGGAGAATGTGCAAACTCAACACAGATGGTCACCCGAGGGTGGAATTGAACCTGGATCCCTGGTGCTGTTAGGCAGCAGTGCGAGCCACTGTGCCACCCCTTTTTTTTATAAACGACAGCTAACCTCCCTCACTATCTGTCTAACCTTCTCCAGCCCCACAATACTCCCAATCCCTGCACTCAAACTGCTATGGCCTCCCCACGCTTCATCACTGCACCCCCTAGTGGCTGTGTCTTCAGCTGCCTGTGTCCCACAATCCGGAATTCTGTCCTCCTCACCGTCATTCTTTCAGATGCTGCTGGTCACTGCCATCTCTGACACAGCAGTTGACTGACGTAGGATAAATAAAGGAAAGCAATGGTGTTGGTTTCAAAGGCTCCAGCTAAGTAGTGAGGGAACTATAAACAAGCAGCCATTCCTGTCGCATGCTCAGATTGAAAAACAATGTTAAGTAATATTATTATGAAGATACACTCACTTCATGTTACATTGCATGTGTGGGGCATACCTTAGACATAGGTAATATGCTGAGAACCCAGGTTCACATCCTGCAACGGCAGATGGTAGAATTTGAATTCAACAAAAATCTGGAATTAAGGATCTAATGATGACCTAGTCAATTGTCAGGAAAATCCTGTCTGATACACTTAATGTCCTTGAACGAAAGAAGCTGCCATTCTCCATGGTGTTACCTACGTGTGAATCCACACTGACAGCAATGTGGTTGACTCTTTCCTGTCCCCTGGGAAATAAGGATGGGCAAAAAAAAAACTGGTCCCTGAAAATAGCATGTTAACAAGTGCTGGAGAGGGCAGTTTCATCAATCAAATGGAGGACAGGGAATAATGAAAAAGTTTTGGGGAAGAGCTTCCCAATGCTTTAACTGGAAGCACAGCCTACTGTTATGATCCCACGTGATGTTATTACTAGACAATTCTCATCCCAAGCTGAAATCTGACTTGATAGACCATATTTTGTTTTTTGTTTTATTTTACCGCGATATTCTTTCACTGAAATACAAGTACACAATGCTAAATATTTGATTTAACAATAAAACAGAAGTTTATTATGCAAAAGAAATGAAAAGTATCTACATTTAACACAAGTTTAATCCCAACAAGTACTCAAACACCAGAGAGAATTCCATGCTTGATCACATTTATAAAACCGATTTTAGCTAATGCATCGATTCCCGTTCTTGAGCATTTGATTGTCTCTTCCTTGAATGTTCATACAACTGAGCTGGGATTTTATCAGTTTTAAATAACACCTTCAGCATTTTAACCAAACACTTCTGAAATATTCAAATTAAACTCCTTACACTGAGGTAATCTCACTTTGGATTTGGCTGTTGGCTTTATGGCTAGATGCCTTTTTTGCAGCTTTCTTTCCTATTAATCTGGTGTTCAGAGTAGTCGTGTGAATGACCAAGAAACTCTCTCGCTCTTAATGCTGGGCTTAAACATGTTGAAAGGATTTATGGGCTGATAATTACCTATTCGGCCATGTTATGAATGCACTTTCCATGACCATCAAGTCCTAGAGTGGGACTCAATCACAGAGCTGAGAATATTGCTCCTGTGCCACAAGACCTTCATTTTAACATACAACTTTAATATTTAATGACATATTTTAAAACGACATATGGTGTCAATCCCATGCTTGGGTAACCTGTAGGTCTTGAACTCAATCTAAACCTTACAGTGTACACAAAGCAAATCCCCTCTAAGGTGCATCTTGAGATGTTGTTCCAAATTGTTTATTCTACTGGGAGGTAGCTGGTAAAATTAGAATGAGGTTGGTTCCAAAGGCTCTAGTAAGTAGTGAGGAAACTGAAAAAGATTACTGCCTCATTCTCAGATTGAAATTGCATGTTGGTCGTACTCAGATAAACTTGTAACAGTTATGCCATAGTTGTTGATTCTTCAGGGCAGTTGTTAAAATTGTATGATTATTCAACAGACAAAAAATATTGATGGCAGATGTTTTGTGGAATCTTAAGGATCTAAGTCACATGGGGTATGGTAGGATTTGTGATAGAAGTGGATGCAAAGAATGACATGGCTTACCTTAATGGGTCGGGAGCACCTTGCTCTGTCTTTTACGCTTTTGACAAGCAGTGTGGTGACTTTCTTGCTTAGGCAGTGACAATTTGCCAATTAAGGGGGCTTATTGCTTGCTAAATAGTTTATTAATGCCACAAATGACCTCATTAATATGCAGCTTTCTATCTTATCAACCGCACCAAACAAACTAGACGGCAAGAATTCCTGAGACAACAAGGTGTAGAGCTGGATGAACACAGCAGGCCAAGCAGCATCATAGGAGCAGAAAGGCTGACGTTTCGGGCCTAGACCCTTCATCAGAAAAATGACCAAGGAACTCTCTCGCTCTTAATGCTGGGCTTAAACATGTTGAAACGATTTACAGGCTGATAATTACCTATTCGGCCATGTTATGAATGCACACCTGTGTGCTAGCTCTCTGTGTTTCGTGCACAAGTATCCCCAAGTTCCTTCTGCTTTCTGCAAGAATTCCTGTCTTGAAAGACAGAGTGATGACTTCATCTTGCCACTTGCTCCATGCTGAAGTATGTATGCATGTGTTTTTGGATGTTTAAAAGGGTAAACATTTATATCTCCATGATACAAATTATGTTTGATTTATTTTGTATTATAATAAATCAATGATTTTATGTTTGTTAATGAACCTGGTTGATGGATCTCATTGTTCCAGGTCTAAAGCTTATGATTGGCTATATTTGGACTTGATTCAAACATTTAAAGTTATGGTCATTGGAGTAGTGGGTCTAGAAAGTGACTGTACGTTCCCCCAATTCCAGTTGTAACAAGATTGCCAAAGTTCAGACAGTGCATCTGTGGATTTGACATGTATATCATAATCTAATCAAACAGAATCAGCATGGCTTTATGAAAGGAAAATCAAGTCCAACTAAATTATACGAGTTCTTCAAGGAAGTCCCAGTAGAGGTGAACCAGTAGATATGTTGTACTTGGACTTGGAGAAGGCATTCAACAAGGTACCTCATAAAAGGTTAAGTCATAAAATAAGAACCCAGAATGTTAGAGGTAGTATCTTGACATGGATATAGAATTGGCTGATGCGCAGGAAACAGCAAGTGGGGATAAGGGATTCTTTTTCAGGTTAGTGACCTGTAACCAGGGGATTTCTACAGGAATCAGTGCTGGGACCGCAACTGTTTACAATATATTTGAATGACTTGCAGGAAGGAAGAGAATGTACTGTCGCCAAATTTGCAGACGATACAAAAATAGAAAGAAAGGCTGGTTACGAGAGGAATACAAATAATTTACAGAAGAATTGATGGGTTAAGTATGTGTGAAACATGTTGGCAAATGGTGTAAAAGTAGTAAACAGTGAAGTTGTCATTTTGAAATGGAGAACATAGGAAGAGTATTATTTAAATGGAGAAAAACTGCAGAAAGCAGAAGGAACTTGGGGATACTTGTGCACGAAACACAGAGAGCTAGCACACAGGTGCAGCAGGTAATCAGGAAGGCTAATTGAATGTTGGCCCTTTTTTCAATGGGGATGGAGCATCAGAGTAGGGAAGTCTTACTAGAACTGTACAAAGTGCTGGTGAGCCCACATCTGGGAGTAGAGTAGTGTAAGCAGTTTTAATACCCTTATAAAGGAAAGGTATTGTTTCATTGGAGGCAGTTCAGAGAAGGTTCACAGGGATGACCCCCACTATGGAGGGATTCCTTATGAGCAAACGTTAGACAGGTTGGCACTCTACTAACTGGCATTTAGAAGAATGAGAGGTGATCTCATTGAAACATATAGGATTCTTAAGGGGCTTGACAGGATAAATGTATAGATGATGTTTCCCCTTATGGAAGAGTGTAGAATCAGAGGGCATAGTCTCAGAATAAAGGAAAGCCAATATAAGACTGAGATGAGAGGATTTTCTTCGATGAGGCTGGGAGCCTTTGGAGCTCCCTGCTGTTGTGGGGGCAGAGTACTTGTATATATTTAAGGCTGAGATATATAGATTCTTGATCAGTAGGGGAATCAAGGGTTATGGGGAAAGGATAGGAAAGTCGACTTGAGGAATGTTGGATCAGCTGTGAACCTATTGAATGGTTGAGCAGCCTCAAGAGGCTGAATGGCCAATACCTGTTACTATTTCTTATGGTCTTATAAATTCCTAGATCCTCTGATTTGTTCCTTCTTGTGATAATGGCCAAGAAAACCTGACCTACATGTTAAATTCCGATTCATTTATTTTTAAATTTGAAATTCTGCTCATGTTCATGATGTGTTGTTCAGTTATATTTGATATTAATGTGTCATTCTTTTTCTGTATAGTTAACCAACCACCTTCAAAATGCTGTATACATGCCTATTATTCCCCATTTCCAAGCGCCAAAGGAGAAATCTCCATCGAATTTGAATCTGCAATAGGTAAGCAGTTGAGGTACCAATGGAAAATATTATAAAAATTAAATACTTTATTAAAATTACCCACTGTAGGACTGAGTTAATTCCAGATTTTTGCAGTTGGAACTACATTTAGTGAATTTACACTGTGTAGGCTTTTGCTTATGAAAAGCTTTCATAAAATAAGCTTCATTTAGTTGTATTGTTGGTAGAGACTGGTTAACCACCAAATGAACGATCTCCAGGTTATTAACTAGGAAAGACATGAGTCAGTATTTTTTAACTGAATGTTTTTACTGACAAAAGAAAAAGAACTAGCACTAACTCAAAATTATGTCTTGAAATGCTTCAAAGGAAAATTCGAACAGAACATTCCCTGTTCACATCAACTGAGAATCCCCTTTTTTATACTAATTTCTAGAATGTTCATTTAAATTTTCTGGATCCAAGCAAATGCATGTCTCAGCTCCAGAGATTCATTTTGATTCTCCATGTTGTCCCAGTCTGGCAGACAATACACTTTCTGTAAGCATTCCACTGTTGATCTCTTCTACTCATATTTCTCTGCAGACCTGACAATCTGTAATTCCTTGTGAATTTGAATTTTTCTTCCCAAGTAATTGTTGCACAATGACTCTAAGTCAGCAACTTTTGGAAGCTAGTTTGCCTTCACACAGAACGCTCCCTGGATGACTGCCTTTCCAGACTGCTGCTGAGCTCAGATTTATGAAACAGGTCCTAATTATATCAAAACAAAATTAGCTTCCCAACCTCTACAGGCCAACCTCATGGCAACCTGACACATTTGTTCTCAGATAGAAGTACAAGGTCATTTTCCTTATCTTTAAACCTACCCCTTTCTGTGAATGCATATGGATATGTTAAAATCTTCCATTTTCACCAGTTGCTTTCAACCCCACTTTGTTCTATTAAATTATAAGAATTTCTCAAACCCTCCAGTTTACTTCTTAACTTCAATCCCTCCTGAGATGCCTACAAACAAGCTGTTTCCTCAAGAGATAATTAACAAGGCTCCCATTGTTTAAATTTAAACTGCTCACATCATGGCTTCACTAGCATAAAGACTGTATCCATCACTTCTAGCGCACAGTGACAGCTGTATGTACCACATGCAATATAACTTGTCAAAGCTCCTCTGACATCAGCTTCCAAACTTCTGACTTCTATCACCCAGAAGCACACGACCAGCATATGGGAATTCCACCGCTGGGTCTCACAATGCTGACTTGGAGCTCTATCACCATTCCTTCCCTGTAACTGGGTCAAAGTTTTGGAACTCCCTTCCTAACAACACAGTTTGTGTTCCTAGACCACATGGAATACAGTGGTACAAGAAGGTAACTCACCACCACCTTCTCAAAGGCAATTAGGGATGAGCAATAAATGCTAGGCAAGGCAATAAGATTTGTTTTAAACTCTTTGAAAAGTAAGAAAAAATTTGAAAAAAATAACTGTGTCCTCGCTTTGATCTTTAGTTATCTGAGACTGTTTTGCCTACCTCAGGTGAGGCATTCTTTCATTTATCCTACATTTGCAAATTAAAATTTCCAAATTGAAAATGATCTTCTGCACATTTGGAACAAATGTAGATCAATGTCTGTGAATAGCCTAATCAATTTTTGCTTTGCTTATTTTTGCAATGTCCTCTCCTCCTTCAATTACAAATGACAAGTGACTCAACAATTCATATCGAACTCCTTCCTGTACGGTCATGGGAGTGAATCTGAGCTCTTTATAGCTTGTTTTCTGGGTGTAATGAGTCTAATTAACCTACCCAGGATGACATCTGTGATGCCTGCACACTTATTTTTAATTTGTTTGTGGAATGAGTGTGCCTGGGCACATTGCTCTTGAACTTATTGGCTTGCTGGGCCATTTCAAATGCCAGTTAAGCGTCACCCACATTACAGTGCGTCTGGAGTAGCATGTAGGCCATGGATGTGAGTTTTCCTTCCTGAAAGGACATGAATGAACCAGATGGGTATTTAAGCAATCAACTATAGTTATATGATCACCAGTAGACGAGCTTTTAATTCCAGAATTTAAAAAAATTAAACTTCAACACAGTTGGATTTGAATCCATGGGACTCTGAACTGTATTCCAGTGACATTACCATCATTACTGCCCAAAGAAAGTATACTAAATATCAGCCTTGTAAAGGGATTAGTGTGTACATACCTAACAATTGCCAGGTATACTATTCTGAAGCCCCATGCTGCATCCTATCCCTCTCTAAGGTTCCATATCATGAAGGCCCTGATCCACATTCTGCCCTATTTCAAGGGAAGATCAGTTGCTGGATTACTTCTCCTGGTTATTGTGTTTTCTGTGCAGTTTTTCTCTATTCATTCACTGGCTTGGCCAGTGTTTATTGTCCATCCCTAATTGCCCAGAGGGCAGTTATAGAGTCATAGAGTTATACAACATAGAAACAGACCCTTTGGTCCAACTCATCCGTGCCGATCAAGTTTCCCAAACGGAACTATTCCCACTTGTTTGTGTTTGGACCATATTCCTCTAAACCTTTCCTATTCATGTACCTATCATCTAAATAGACATGTGTGTATATATATGAGAGAGTCAACCACATTGCTGTGGGACTGGAGTCACGTGTAGACCAGACCAGGTGAGGACAGCACATTCCCTTCCCTAAAGGATATGAGGAAACCAAATGGGTTTATTCCTGACAATTGATAATAGCTTTGTGATCATCATTGAACTCTTATTTCCAGATTATTATTGAAGTCAAATTCCACTATCTGCCATTGTGGGATTTGAACCTGGGTCCCCAGAGCATTACCTGGGTCTCTGGATTAATAGTCTAATGACGATACCACTAGGCCATTGCCTACCCTTGATTTTTTTTCCAATGCCTTAAATAAGGAGTCCAAACTGCACACAGTATTCAAGATGTGGTCTCACCAGTGCCCTATATAACTGAAATATTACATCCTTACAAATACAATTTTAGTTTGAACACTTGACCTTTCACATCCTGATTATACTGACTGAGATTCAGGTACATTCTGTCCTATTTTGCTGTACTTGCTTGGTGTACTTCTCCAGTGTATGTCTGTGTAGTGGCAACATAACGGGAACCTATCTATTAAGTTGCTTCTGCCTCTGCCATTTTGAAAGGCTGAGTCTCCAATGGCCACTAAGTTCTTTGAGGACAGATTGATTCGTTTAAGACTTAGTTTCAAATTTACATTGACAGGTAAGTCATCTTGGAGTCTCTCCCACCTCAGTTTAGATTCACTTGTATCCCCTCTCTCGGGAGGATTGCTCTTTATCTTCATTAGATGAACAACAGGTTCTAGAACATTCTCATGAGCATTCATTATTCTACTAATCACAGCATTCACACAGATGTTATGGCAACCACTCAGTTTGTGTCACATACTTCCTCCAAACTAAGACTTTCAAAAACCCTCTTGAATGGAACAAGATTTGCCAGCATCAAACACCATATCACACACAATACCATGTGGAGCTGGAGGAACACAACAAGTCAGGCAGCACCAGAGGAGCAGGAAAGTCAGAGTTTCAGGTTTACACCCTTCATCAGTTGACTTTCCTGCTCCTCTGATGCTGCCTG